ATGTAGCGCGTTTGCACCTAGCTTGTTTTTTCCCGCCCTTCCGCTCCCTTCTCTGTCCCCTTCCGCTTCCCTCCCCCCCTTCTCCCCGGCCCATTGACGCATCTCCCTGCTCCTCACTCCGCCATCCCCCGCCTGCCTCCCACATTCTCTGTCTGGTGGAGAAGCGCCTGGGCGTCCTTAACACCGACGGCCCGAAACGCTTTGGGATCGAGCCGCACAGAGCTGGTAACATGGATGGAAGAAGAGGACGAGGAGGAGGAGAAGGATTAGGAGGACGATGATGATGATGACGATGATGATGACTATGATGATGATGATGATGATGATGATGATGATGATGATGATGATGATGATGATGATGATGATGATGATGATGATGATGATGGTGATGATGGTGATGGTGATGGCGATGGTGATGGTGATGGTGGCGATGACGCTGATGCTGATGATGATGCGCTGCTGGTGATGATGCTGCTGATGATGATGACGATTATGATGATGATGATAATGATGATGATGATGACGATGATGATGCTGATGATGCTGATGATGCTGATGATGCTGCTGATGATGCCGATGCTGTTGTTGGTGTTGTTGTTGTTGTTGTTGTTGTTGTTGTTGTTGCTGTTGTTGTTGGTGTTGGTGTTGTTGGTGTTGTTGCTGTTGCTGTTGTTGTTGTTATTGTTGTTGTTGTTGCTGTTGTTGCTGTTGTTGTTGTTGTTGTTGCTGTTGTTGCTGTTGTTGTTGTTGTTGTTGTTGCTGTTGTTGTTGGCCCCCCGAACTCAGGAATGGCGCTCTCGCTCGGGACATATTCGCACTTCAGTCAGTGGCCGACAAGGAAGATATTTCCCCCCCCGAAAGGGGGTGCAATCGAAGACGAAGTGGGCCGGTATCGAGGGTTGGGGTATACGGGATGCAAGACACGCGTGCCAGTAAGAGCGAACAGTCTTAAACTGATTGTTGTTGATGGTGATGGTGCTGCCGATGCTGATGATGATGCTGATGATAATGATGATGTTCTTGAGTATGCTGATGCTGATGCAGCAGATGATGCTGAGGAGGGGGAGGAGGAGGAGGAGGAGGAGGAGGAGGAGGGAGGAGGAGTCGGAGCAGGGAGGAGGAAGAGGAGGAGGAGGAGGAGGGAGGGAGGAGGAGGAGGAGGAGGAGGAGGAGGAGGAGGAGGAGAGGAGGGAGGAGGAGGAGGAGGAGGAGGAGGAGAGACGTGGTGATGCCGAGGGGTCTCCCTCGCATCGATGCTGGAGATGCGTGGCCAACCCTCTGCTATCCAGCCCTGCCATTGCCAATCGTGAATCTCTGGTTGATGGAACTATCTCGCCGCCGACCCCGAGGAGAGCGCCTTTTCGCTCGTGGGCTTCCGTCTCTGGAGGCCAGCTGTGGGCGCATCCCCCCTCGCAACGACCTTCTCTCGGGGCTCGGGGCCCTCTCCGTGCGGCTCACAGAGTGTCGGGGGGTAAGTGCGGCTCAGACGGCTGAGGAGGCAGGCGTGGGGCCGACGAGAGGTTTACAAGATGTGGGCGGTCTACGGTGCGCCTCGGGGAACCAGGCGGTCTTTCATCTCAGTTGGATTGCGTGATGTGTGGTAGCCCTCCCACCGTCCATCCATCAAGTCCGAGGCCCCGGCTGTATGCGTTCCTCATGGTGATGTCTCACACGCATGGTGATCTATCTTGTGTGATTCTGATGTCTTGCGAGCGGTCAGAGCAGCTAGGCAGCCGCGCGCCCAGGTAGTCGCCGCCAGTTCGCTGTTCGATCTGTGGTCTCGGGTCTTGTCGGTCCTCGGCCGTCGTGAATGCCGGGTCGAGGCCCTGTGGGCCAGGAGTCGTTCGACGGCCCACCAGCGGACCCAAGTCGCATGGGACAGCAACTCTTTGTGGAGCTGGTGTGCCGATTGCTCCGCGGGCTGGGCGGCCGACGAGTGTCGCCCCGCTCTCGATCAGCATGGCTCGACGGGGTATATTCGACCGCCGCACCGCCGCGACCCTGGAGCGATTGCCTGCTGTGCACAGGGAGGTTGTCCAGGCTGACCCCCGTCGTGTTTCCGACAGGCTCATCAGCCCGCCTCCCCGACCACTCCCTCTCCCTCCCTCCTGCGGGAGACGTGAGTGATGGGCCTGTTTTCCACCACCACCGCCAGAAGTTGGAGGGGGGAAGGAGGAGGAGGAGGAGGAGGAGGGGGAGGAGGAGGAGGAGAAACAGGAAGAGGAGGAGGAGGACCCCCTCCCCCTCCAACTTATGGTGGTGGTGGTGGTGGTGGTGGAAAACAGGCCCATCAGTGAGCGGCTGCGGAGAACCGGCCCTGGGCCCGTCAAGCGTGGTAACACTCCCACGTGCCAGAATTTTGGTTGTAAGCTTTCATTGCGGGGCGACGTGCGTGATGGGTAAACTTTTCCATCGCCACTACCATACGTTGGTTCGGGGGAGAAGGCAGGATGAGGAGGTCCTCCTCCTCCTCCTCCTCCTCCTCCTCCTCCTCCTGAGACACAGATTGACGAACAGCTGGGTTAGTGTGACCTACCCCAAACTACTCACTGTTGCTGCGTGTGGGAGCGAGCCCACGCGCAGCCAGGTCTGAAGGGCCCGAACGAACAGGGACGCGCACGCCTTCCCCCTGAGGCGGGGTGCCTGACACACGTGCGACGCAGCGCGCGAGCACACCCACACACACACACACGAAGCACGAACGGGACATGCACGCAGGCAAAACCAACCTCCTCCTCCTCCTTCTTCTTCTGGCAGCGGTGGTGGGACATGGGCCCGTCAGTGCGTTCTTCTGCCGTGGACCCCGTCGCCTGGTCTGGGCACCTGGATCCTCCTCCCCTCAGGCGCCCTCGTCTCCCCGTTTGTCCTGAGGGAGGAGGAGGAGGAGGAGGAGGAGGAGGAGGGGGAGGAGGAGGGGGAGGAGGAGGGGGAGGAGGAGGGGGGAGTAGGAGGAGGAGGAGGAGGAGGAGGGGGAGGAGGAGGTGGAGGAGGAGGAGGACGAGGAGGGGGAGGAGGAGGAGAGACGTGGTGATGCCGAGGGGTCTCCCTCGCATCGATGCTGGAGATGCGTGGCCAACCCTCTGCTGTCCAGCCCTGCCATTGCTAATCGTGAATTTCTTGTTGATGGAGGAGGGGGGGAGGAGGAGGGGGAGGAGGAGGAGGAGTAGGAGGCAAGCTAGGTGCGCTCGCGTCATATCTGACGTCCTACCCCTCCCTCCCATCCCTTACCATGGCGCTGATTTTCTCTATCCGCGGACGCGTGTCGTAGCGGACCTGTGGCTCCGCGCGCGCGTGCGTAGTGGGTGGTGGTGCACGTGCGTGCGTGCGTGCGTGTGTGCGTGGTTGTCGTGGTGGTGGTGGTGGTGGTGGTGGTAGTGGTGGTGGTGGTGGTGGTGGTGTGGTGGTGGTGGTGGTGGTGGTGCTGGTGGTGGTGGTGTGGTGGTGTTGGTACTGTGTGTGGTGCTGGTGGTGGTTGTGGTGGTGGTGGTGGTGGTGGTGGTGGCGGTGCGGCGCGGTGGTGGCGGGCGGATGGGCGCGCGAGAAAGAGGCCCGCGCTGGGGCGAGAACGCCATCCTGAACGACGGAGGCCAAACACCGATCCGAAAATGAGGCCCACGCTGCAGCGGGAGCACGATTCGGAACGATTCGGGAGCAGAAATGAGGCCGGCGCCTCAACGAGAGCAGCATTTTGGGAAAAGATGACGCCGGCGCCTCAGCGAGAGTCGTTTCCCGGGATTTCCCGGGAATCCTGTGTGTAAAAAAACAGTACGCGGAGGGTGCGCGGCCATCACCCGGACGCCATCAGGGGAAGAGGGAGAGTATTTTCATATTGAGTAATTGTAGAAGGAGGAGGAGGAGGAGGAGGAGGGGGAGGAGGAGGAGGAGAGCCTCAATTGGGCTTCAGTTGCTCAGAGAGTTAGTTCAATGTACGGAGTCTTGCTCGTCCGTGCCAGGCCACAGATCGGCTCCCACCAGAGCTGGGGAGGAAATTATGTCCTGCCTGTCCAGGGGCCTCCCCCCCGAAAGTGGAAGTAGCTTTCTCCGATGATGGTGCTGTTGGTGCCCCGGCCCGGCTTGGTCCCCACTGGCTTCTGAATCCGCACATCTTCTCCGGGTTTGGGGTGCTTCTGGGCCCCTCCGCTCCCCGCGGGCGGCCTTGACCCAACCGCCTCTCGGCTTTTGCTCGTTCGGTCCCTCCTCATGCCTCCTCTTCCCGCCGTCTCATTCCTTCCTCCTCCCCCCTTCGTTCCCCTCCCTCTTCATTTCTCTCTCTCTCTCGCTTCCCTCCTCCTCCTCCTCCTCCTCCTCCTCCTCCTCTTTACTCTTCTTCCTCCTCGACCTCAATTCCCTTCGTCATAATCCGCTACCTTCAGTTCGACTGGCGAATTCTCTGGTCTGTCTGAGTGGGGATGGCTGTCGATCCCCAGTTGTCGTGGATCTCAGTCTCGGGACCTCTCGACCTCTCCAGGCTGCTCCTGCCGCTGCTCCTCCTGCTTCTGCAGTTGTTCCTCCGCGCGCTTCTGCTTCCACTCCTCTTCGTGCTCCTCGGGCTCCTCGCCTGCCCCCAATGCCCCCCTCCTCTTATCCTCCCGTTGCAGCGCGGGCCCCATTTCAGGATCGTTGCTGTGCTCTCGTCGTTCAGACTGGCGCTCTCGCCCCAGCGCGGGTCGTTTTTCTGGATCCGAGTATTTTCTCATCGTTGTCGCCCCCATCGTGTCCCCTCCTCCGCCTTCCCGTGGTCCTCCTGCTCCTTCCGCTCCATTCCAGCTCCTGCTGCTGTTGTTCGTCTTCGTCCTCCTCCTTCGTTAGCCTCCTCCTTTTCCTCCTGCCCATCCTTGAGTTCATCCGCCATCTCTTCCAATGTTAACAGCTCCTCTTCTCGGATTGTGCATAACGTGATGGCGCACAGAAGACAAGCACAACGCAATGGAGAGGGATGCGAGACGGCAGGGATGGGTCGGATGTCGGATATGGCGCGAGCGCGCCTAGCTTGTCCTGCCCCCCTTCCCCCGTCGCCTGCCACGAGCTCCCACGTTCCTGCTCCCTCGTGTGTGCGACTGCTCCCGTCCGGGCCCGCCGGAGGAGCTCATGAGGCTGCAGCAGGCTGCCCAGGCCAAACGCGCCGAGCTCGAGCAGCGCGCCACGGAGAAGACGCTCGAGTTCCAGCAGCGCAAGGCGCGGCCCGCCGCCGGCCGCTCGGGGGGCGGCCTCTGGCCGCCTCCCCCCGGCAGCAGACCGGCCAGTCCCTGCCGCTCACCCTCGAGGGAGCCTCTGCGGCCAGCGTTAGGTCGCGAGTGTCCCTTGACAGGAGGAGTGTTCCAAAATAGCCAAATTACTCCGACGGTGGTGGGACCCCACATGATAATCTATTTCGATTACCCCTCGCCTCTTCTCCTCTTCGACTGGCGGAGGCCCTTCTCCCGCTTCTGCGTCCTCCTCCTCCTCCTCCTCCTCCTCCTCCTCCTCATCATCATCATCATCGTCATCACCCCCTTCCTAGACCCTAGACCCTTTCAGTTCTTATCCTCCTCCTCCTCCTCCTCCTCCTCCTCCTCCTCCTCCCTCCCCTCTTCATATTTTTCCTCCTCCTCCTCCCCTTCGTCCTTTTCCTCCTCCTTCTCCTCCTCTTTCTCCTCTTCCTCCTCCTTCTTCCCCCAATCTCCATCCCGCCTGTTCTCAACATTCTCCTCTCCTCTCCTTCCTCCTGTCATGGGCGCGCATGCCGATTTTCCTCTGCGCCCTCGCCGCCGCGCTTGGCAGGGGCGCATTCTCCGACAGCGAAATCGCGAAACCGTCGGGGCAACGGCCGTTGGGACAACCCCGCGAGCCGCTGGGCCGGGAGAGCAAACCGTTGGGACAGCCCCGCAGGCACCGCGGCCGCGCTCAGGCGGGAGGCAGCACGAAGTCCAGCTCTGCCGCGAGCTGCTCCGCTTCAGCCCTGGAGTCCACAGCTCTCTTGTCGAACTCTTCGAGCGTCTTCCGCGGGGACGCCGGCGGCCCGCGCTCCAGGAACTCGCGCGCGGGTGGCCGCAGGATCAGCATGTTCCGCATGCGCGTGGCGCGGGATCACATGACGTAAAGGTTCAGCCGTCATTGGTCATCCGACATGCCCGTGTGAACAGCGTCCTCATTTCGAGCGCAGTCGATGGTGACGCCTTGTCGCGGCGTCTGACCTTGCGACAGCGTGGACGTCAGGTAGGACGCGTGCGTCAGGGTGAGCCCCGAGCGGCACACGACGTGCGCCCCCGAGCTCTGCTACGTGACCTCCTGTTCGCTGGGCCTGAACGTGAGCAAACTCCTCGCCCGCGCCTCGGCCTCGCCATTGTCGTCAACGCCAACCTGGAGACCAGGGTTTTTTCTGCCCCCGATTCGGCCGCCGATGGGTTACCGCCGGCAGCGCGGACGCAAGGGTTCCCCGCTGCGCCCGCTTCGGCCGAGAAAGAGTTACCACACCCGGCCCGGGCGCAAGGGTTTCCCCTGTGCCCAGCCGCCGCTTCGGCCGAGGATGGGTTACCACTCCCGGCCGTTTCCCCCTGCGCCGGCGGCCGTCGTCCTCCTGAACTCCTGTTCCTCGTCTTCCTTCTCGTCTGATGGGTCGAGCGAGTAGCCCTCTGAAGAGCACAAGACTGACTCGGAACCCCGCTCGGATTCACCCGCGAGGGCTCGCATCCCCTTTCATTCTTGAGGAACCCGACAGTGACGATAGCTACGAGAATCCAGAGACTCGCTCGGATTCGAACATGGAGCTGCGGGCCCCACAAACGAGGCTCCCGCCTCAGTCACGACGAGGCCCCCGCCACGACGAGTCTCCCGCCTTAAGATTTTGGCCTGAGGAACCGACAGTTACAGGTTTCCGATTACCGCCCCGGGTTCGAACATGTAAGTGCGGGCTGGAAGGGGCTCCCGCTTGAGGCTCCCGCTTGAGACTTCCTCGAGATTCAAACCTCAGGGGCCCCAGAGTGACGACAGCTACAAGGTTTGGATGACCCGTTCGGATTCGAGCATGAGGTACGGGCCTCATAGAGAAGAGGCAGCCGCGTGAGATTTCTTTGCAATTCACTTACAGACGATATTCACGCTTGAGACTTCTTCAAAAGTCAAGCCCCAGGGGCCGCAAAATGACGACAGTTACAAGGTTTGGGTGGCCCGTTCGGAATCGAGCGTGAGTGCGGGCCCCATAGAGAAAGGCCCCCCGCCTGAGACATCTTAGAAATCATTCACAAATGAAGGTTCTGCGTGAGACTTCTGTCTACTCAAGCCTCAGAGGCTCAGAAGTGACGACATTCACGGGGTTTGGATGACCCGCCCGGAATCGAACGTGAGGTGCGGGCCCGATGGAGAAAATGCTCCCGCTTGACATTTCCTCACAAGTCAATACGAGGATCCTGTTTAAGACTTCTTCCCAATTCAAGCCTCAGGGGCCCAAAAGTGACGACAGTTACAAGGTTTGGATGACCCGTTTGGGTTCGAACATGAGGTGCGGGCCCCATAGACATGGGGCTCCCGCCTGAGACTTCCTCGCAACCCACTCACAGACCAGGTTTCCGTTTGAGACCTCCTCAAGATTCAAGCCAGGGGCCTAAAAGTGACGACAGTTACAATGTTTGGGTGGCCCGCTCGGATTCGGACATGAGGTGCGGGCCCCATAGAGACGGGGCTCCCGCTTGAGATTTGCTCACCATTCACTCACAGACGAGGCTTCAGCTTCAGATTTTGTTCATTTTCAAGCCTCAGGGGCCCCAAAGTGACGACAGCTACAAGGTTCGGATGACCCGCTCGGATTGCCAACGTGAGGTGCGAACCCCGTAGGGAGGGGGCTCCCGCCTGAGGTTTCTTCACAACTCACCCACAGACGAGGCTCCCACGTGAGAGTCCCTAAATGTTTGTGATGATGTTCGTGTGTGGTGGGTGATGATGATGTTGGTGATGATGATGGTGATGATTCTGGTAATGCGGATGATGATGATGATGGTGGTGATGATGATGATGATGATGATGATGATAATAATGATGAGAGTGGTGAGGGATGTGTGATGACTGTGTGACGATGACGATTCTGATGATGGTAAGTGCTGGTGAATGATGATGGATTGATGACGGTGATGGAGAGTGATGAGGATGATGATGACGGTGCTTTTGAATGGTGACGATGGTGGTGGTGATGATGATGATGATGATGATGAGGACGTGTGTATGATGATGGTGATGATGATGGTGATGGTGATGATGTGGGGTGTTTCTGTTCTTGCGCGGGGGTGTCCAGAGAAAACAATAACCCCACTTCTGATGTGGGGAAAGGTACCATCGGGACGATTTTTCGACTATTGTTGGACCACTTTTGAATCTTGTTTGATTATTTGTCCATTCTTCGCCCAAAATCCGCCTGCAGGACATGTCCGACCTAACCCTACCGCTCGCCCTCGAGGGAGCCCCCCTGCGGCCAGCGGGGCCGCGTCTCGCGGGGCGAAGCGGCGGGGCTCGTCGCTGAACGGGGGCGGCTTGGCCGCGCCGCTCAGCGCCCCCGTGACGCATTTCGATGCCGCCGATTCGGTTCGATTCGATTTCGATGGACTTCGACTTCGATTCGATTCGACTTGGGATTCCGATTTGGGCTCCGATCTCTTAATGGAGGCCCATCAGCCTGCCGGTTTCCGCCGATTCGACTTCTCCCGACTCGGCTGCCGAGCTCCGCCGATCCGATTTATTTCGATCGCCGGATCTGGCTTATCGATTCGATTCTGGGTTCTCCTGGGGATGTAGGTTTTTTCCGAAGGGCTTGGGCGACCCGTCCTCCTCCTCGTCCTCCTCCTCCTGCTCCTCCTCCTCCTCCTCCTTCTCCCTCGTCTTCCTCCTCCGGCTCCTCCTCCTCCTCCTCCATCTCCTCCTCCGCCTTCTCCTCATCCTCGCCCTCCTCGCCCTCCCCTCCTCGGGTCGCCTACGGCCCCGGGGGGGCTCGTCGTTGAACGGGTGCGGCGTGGACGCGCCGCTCAGCGCCCCTGGCTCCCCCCTGGCTCCTCCGTGCACGTCCCCCGTGCCTCGCTCCAGGAGCGGCCGCGGGTGCCACGACCGAACAGCCCGCGGAGGCGCAAAGTGGATGGCGCTGCGCGCTCTTGCGCTGCGCGCTGTCGCGCCTGGTGGCCAGGGCACGAGGGGCGCTCCTCTCCAAGCGGGTCTTCACGAGGCCGCGCGACGACGAGCGCGCCTCGCGCTTTGCGCGGCGCGAAGCGCGAAGCGCGAAGCCAGGTGACATAGAATCAGGATGATTCTTGATCTCTTGGCTTACGCTTACGTCGGGCGTGTTCCTCTATAGGAGGAATGTTCCAAAGCAGTCAAAAAGTAGTCAGGGGATGATGTTTTGATTACTTTTGAGCATTCTCGCACATATATATATATATATATATGTATAGTTTTTTGTTTTTTGTTTTTTGTTTTTTGCTATTTTTTGTTTTTCCTCCAAACTCGGCCCGTAGGAGGACACGCCCGACCTGAGCCTACGCCGCACCGCCGACGCCCTGGGAGCCCCGGATGCTTCGCTTCCAGGGGGGCGTTGTCGCAGAGGTGTCCTGGCGTCGTCCTCTCGGGGGGGCCTCTTCGGGGGCCCCTCCTGGGGGCCGTGTGGGGCTCGCAGACCTTGCAGCGGAGGAATGGGTTATGATATATCACAAGCGCAAGTGGAGATGGGCGGGGCTAGTTGCCGCACAACTTCACCACAGTCGGACTCGACTGGCAGCGGCATGGGAACCTGACATCCGTGACCCCCGGGCCGCACGACGCTGGCACGGCCGATAGCGAAAACGGTGGAGTGACGACATCGCAGAATTCTTGCAGAAGACTGCTGGCAGAGTACACGGCACTCGCCTACATGCTGCTACCAATTCTAATTTCTGGGAGGACCTCGAGAGAGACTTCTTGAACGTCACACGCCTGTGACCGGGCTCAGGCCCGCCCGCGCCGCCCCTAAGGGGCCTGCCGGCCCGCCGGCCGGCGGACTCGCGCGTCTGCGTCTGCGTCTGCGTCTGCGTCTGCGTCTGCGTGGGGCCCTTTCTTGGTCCGTGTCTGTTCGGTGCGTTTTTCCTCTTCCTCCCTCCCCTCCTCCCCTCCTGCTGGCCGGGAGATCCAACCCGCGGGCGGTCGAAGTGCGGTCGGCGGGCCAGGGGCTGTCCAAGATGGCCCCGAGGCTCCCCAGGCGGCTTGCATGAGGCAGCCGCTCCAGTTTCGAATTTGCAACGGGTCCTGAGCGGACGGGATCTTGGAGCCTCTTGGGGGCATGCTGGAAGCCTTGGGGGCCATCTGGGGGAGGGCTCTTGGGGCCCCTTCGAGTTCCCCCTCTTGGGTTAAGCCGGGCCTGTCTTTCTACAGGAGGAATATTCAAAAGTAGTAGCGAAATATTGCGGGGACGATTTTTTTGTGATTATTTTTGAGTATTTGGGGGTATTTTTTCTTTTTCGTCCAAAATCCAGCCCTCATGGGGTTTCTTGGGCAGTCTCGGGGGCCTCTCGAGCTTGGGGGCCCTCATGGGGTCCTTCACGGGCCCTTTCGGGGGTCTCTTCAGGGCAGCCATCGATGCAACCAACGGGACAACCATCGGGGCAATCGTCGGGGCAATCAGCGGGACGACAATCCGTCATCTAAGGACGCGGCAGAGACCACATGTCATTTTGGAACCCTTCGCTACTAGATGATTTGGAAAGCTTTCGCTGCTTGTTAACTAGTCCCCAAAGATGTTTCACAGGTTTATTGCTTTTGCAATGGTTGCATTTTTGTTTTTGGTTTGTTGCTGTCGCTTTTGTTTCCAATGCGCTTCCAATGATTCCAATGGCTCGGCAGGGTTTTTGCTTCTGATGCCCCGCGGGGCGCATTTGTGTGAGGTGTTTCTTTGCCCGCGCGTGTGTCTTTGTGAGAGAGAGAGAGAGAGAGAGAGAGAAAGAGAGAGAGAGAGAGAGAGGGAGAGAGAGAGAGAGAGAGAGAAAAAAAAAGAGAGCGAGAGAGAGAGAGAGAGAACGAAATAGAGGGAGAGGGAGTGTGTGTGTGTGTGTGTGGCTTGCGGCTTTCAGTCTTGTTCTCCGTGAACTCCGCCTGCGGCCTCTTCGTCCGCGGCCTCCACCCGCGGCCTCCGCTCTGGCCTCCGCCTGGCTGCGCGGCTCCGGCGGCGCCCGCGAAGAGCCGCGTGCTCTGACGGGCCTCCTTCCTTTCCGTTTTTTTTGTTGTTGTTTTTTGTTTTTATATTAAATGTTCACATAATAGATATAGCTATACAGCCGAGCGTGCATCTTTGGACACTTTGTTTTTATCCTTTGGCTGATCGCATTTGTTTCTGTGGGCTGGCACTTTGTTGTATTCTGGTCTCCCCGAGCGCATTTCTCGGTTATGATGGCCTCGCATAGCATGGCATGGCAGAGCTATCGGGACAACCGTCGGGATACCCATCGGGACAACCATCGGACAGCCATCGTGACAACCATCGGAACAACGATCGGGACAGCTATCGGGACAAACAAGGGGACAATCATCGGGAAAAACACGCGGACAACCGTCGGGACATCAATCGGGACAACCATTTGGACAATCATCGGAAGAACCACCAGGACAACTATCGGGACATTTATCGGGACAACTATCGGGACAACCATCGGGACAACCATCTGGGCAACCATCGGGACAACCATCGGGACAACACTTGGGACAGCCATCGGGACAACCATCGGGAAGACCATCGGGACAACCATCGGGACAACGACTGGGACAACTTTCACACCACGGCCAGGCGTGGGGTGACCCGTTTTTGTTTGAATTGGCCCTGATCAGTGCACGAACTCGCTTAGCTTCGCCTCGCATCGCCCGCCGCACGCCATGCGCGAAACCAAACGATTTTCCGATTCTGGGCGCGCCTCACGTTCTGCGCGCTCTGGCATCCGATGTCAACCGTGCAGAAAAACACCGAGAGGAAATCAATGATTGTGAAGGCCTGACGGCCGGTGCCGCCGACCCTGAAGAGGACCACGACGTCGGCGACGAAGTGGGCGGAGACGGAGGCCGTGGAAGATGAGGAGGAGGAGGAGGAGCAGGAGGAGGAGAAGGAGGAGGAGGGACGAGGGACGAGGCCTGGCGCATCCGTCCGTCGAAACGAACAGTTGGCGGGACGGCCGAGGCGGCCGCGTCCTCATAGGAGGACGAAGAAGGCGTCCACCTCCAGCTCCACCATGGGCCCGCCCCCAGGAGGGGCCACACGGGCCATCAGCGTAGCAGATGGCGACGCTCCCGCTCTCCCGACAAGGAGCCACGCGGGCAACAGGGAAGCCGCTGCCCACCAGGAAGACGTAGGGCACGGCGAAAAAGAAAAGGGCGTCGCCGAGCGGGCACCTGACGACGCCGCGGGGAGGTCCAGCTCCACGAAGTGCCCGCCCCCAACACGCGGGCCAGACGGGCCACCACGAGCCAGCATCCCACTCATGCCCACAGCAGGGCACATGAAATACCACTGCCCACCAGGTCGACGGTGAGCACGGCGAAGAGCACCTTCCACACACGGCGGCGCGACCGCCGTACCTATGTGGGGCACTCACATCTGGAATCAGCCGTCGCCGATCAAACACCAGACGACCCTGCCAAGGTACTCCAGCTGCAGCTCCTGCCCTCAAGGTCGAGACAGGCCTCAACGCAGCCAAAGACACTCCTCAGATGAGGACGGCGAAGGCATCCACCACGAGCAACGCGTCGGGCCCGCCCCCAGGAGGGGCCAGACGGGCCAATAGCGTAGCCGTCGGCGACGCTCCCACTCTCCCTTAGGGAGCAGAGCGGGCAATATGAAGAGGCTGTCGATCCACACAAGGATGCGGAGGACCCAGCAGCCAACAGCAGCACCGACGATCAAACACCGACGGCACGAGCATATGGATGACGTCCGTAGCCGATCACGCAGCCACAAGCGCCTCAAAGTCCAACATGCGGCCCGCCCCCAAGAGGGGCCAGACGGGCCATTAAGTAGCACGACCATCATCACCATGCGGCCCGCCCCCAATAGCACCACCAGTCAGCAGGGCCCGCCCCCAAGAGGGGCCAGACGGGCCATCAGCGGTACCCGTCCAATTGAGGTAATAACCACGATCCAGCCACTTATGTACCATATAGAGTAGCAACAAGCAAAACACCGTCCAATTGAAAGTAGTAACCACGACCCAGCCACTTATGTACCGAATGCAGTAGCAACCACCGAAATGAAAGCCACTAGGGCAGGATGCCCTCGAACAACTTGGTTGGGATACCAGCTCCGCCCCTCCCCCCCCTGCTCCTGTGGCGGAACGTCCCTGGGCTTGGGGCTCGTGTGTGCACGTGGTTCAGCCTGTGCGCTCTTGTCTGCCAGCGACCGTGTCGACTCGCCTACGGTCCTGGCGGCTTCGCCCACGGCCACCTCCTGCTACCCCGATCCGTCGTTGAGGCGTGGGTCTCCATGGTCGTGCAGTCCTCAGTCGGCAGTGACTGCATGAGAGTGCGCGTGGCATCCCCTGGTCTGGTAGCTCAGGCGCCGACGGTGTCGAGTTCCTCCATCGTTCCCCTGGCTGCCTCGCCTGTGTCTGGCGCCTCCGTGGCCGGACGCTCGCACGACCTGTGCGTCTCCGGGGTTGGTGTGCGATTTTGGTGGCAGCACCGAGTGCACCAGTCTGGGCCCTGCCGGGCACCCCTGGCCGTCTCCTCCGTGTTCCGGCTGGCTTCCCCCTGGTCACACCCTGGCAGAGCGCCGCGCCATTTTGGCTGCGACCCAACCGCGGTTGGTCAATTCGCTGCAGTTCAATTCACCTGGTGGCCCTGCTCTCAGGTGGTCGCACGCTTGCAGCCCACTGGCAGCCCAGGCAGCTCGCAGCCCCCCCCCCTCCGGCTCCTCTTGCTGCTCCAGTGCTGAGGCTTCGGCGGTAGGCCCTGCTCTGCCCCTTGCTAGGTAATTAGGCCCACGCGCGGCCCGCTCGGACCTCACTCGCCGTTGGCGCGCTCGCCTTCGGCTGCTAGCAAAACAAAAAATCGCGGATTCCCTGACCCCCCACGTGATACCCCCATCCGATTCTTCTCGTTCTCCTTCTCCTTCTCCTCCTCCCCCTCCTTTTTCCTTCCTCCCTCCCTCCCTCCTCCCTCCCTCCCTCCCTCCCTCCCTCCTTTTCCTCGTCCTCTTTGCTCGTCCCTCCTTTGCTCGCTTGCTTCCTCCCTCCCTCTGTCCCTCGTCCCTGCCCCCCTTCATGTCGTCGTCGTCGTCATCGTCGTCGTCCTCCTCCTTTCACACTTCCCCCTCCAGCATAAGGAGGAGGAGGGGGAGGAGGCCTCCCATGACTCGCCGGGGAGGTCCACGAGGAGTTCTTGGTGCAGCAGAGGGAGATCCAGCAGCAGCACCAGGAGCAACAGCAGAGGATCGACGAGGACTCGCTCCATCCCTCCCCGCTCTCCCTCCTCTCCTCTCCCTCCGTCACTCACTCCCTTCTTTCTCTTCCCTTCTCCTTGCTCCCTCCTCCTGTTTCCACTGCCTCCTTCCTGCTCCTCTGACTGTCCTCCCCCTCCCTCCTCGCTTCTCCTGGTCTGCCTCCCTCTCTCGTCCCCTTCTGACGCAGGGAGTTTTACGAGGCTTGTTGGCGTATCCACAGTAGGTAACGGCTGCGACATGACCTTCCACCTGGTTAGTGCTACGTGTGTTCCCGTGTGGTCTTATTATCATCCCGATGGCTTCGCGTGTCCCTTTTCCCGTATCCGTGTTCTGAAAAAGGCCATCATGGGCGCCGTAGCACCAGCAAGGACAATTCCCCATCTCCTGCGCGCGTAGGACACGCATGTATCGTACTGAGGGGACGGGGCGGTACTGATTGGCAGTTTCGGGATCCTCATCAAACGTAGCTGTACCGACAGGGCTGGCTACCTTCCGAACCGTTCTAGTGTCGAACGGTGGAGGGCCCGAGTCTCGTACGATGTCGCGGTATGTCAGATGCCGGGACTTGTTCCGTTCTGTGCACCCGCGCACTCATACATTTTGAAGTTCTGTGGCGGTCAATCATCATTTGCCGATTGCTGCGCGTTTGCAGCATTCGTTGGACTGCGACATGTTGAAGCAGCATGGCCAGCATTCTTCAGCATGGACGCTGCAGTGTCTAGTCCGTTATCGGTCAGTCTGCATCGAGATGCTGTGGTATTTGGCCGATGGCAGGTCCGTGTAGTTTCCGTGCCATTCCTTGTTCAAGGCTTCTCCCCCGTCAATGCTCGCACCTCTGAGCGTTGCGTCGTATTTGTTCCCAACCCTCATGTGGTCGAGGTGCTTGTTTGAACAGAGCAGTGCTTGCGCGACTTCTCTATCCTCCTCCCCCTTCCGCCTCCTCCCCATGCTTTCATGCCTCCTGTTCTCGCGTTTCCAGGCTCTACGTCGCCATTCCTGAGGGCTGCTAGGTAGGAGAGGGAGGACGAGGAGGAGGAAAAGGATGATGATGAGGAGGAGGAGGAGAAGGAGGAGGAGGCGGAGGAGGAGGAGGAGGAGGCGGAGGAGGAGGAGGAGAAGGAAGAGGAGAAGGAGGAGGAGGAGTATGAGGAGGTGGCTGAGAAGGAGGAGGAGGACGGGAGGCTTAGGAGGAGTAGGAGGAGGATGAGGAGGAGTAGTTGGAGGAGGAGGAAGAGGAGGAGGAGGTTGAAGAGGAGGAGGAGGACGAGGCTGAGGAAGAGGAGGAGGAGGAGGAGGAGGAGGAGGAGGAGGAGGAGGAGGAGGAGGTTTACCCAATGATTACCCCAATCTGACTCTGTCAGGCCACGCTACAACGGGGGGACTTCATCTGAGTGGCCGCCCTTCTGAGAGACGCTTGAGGACCCAGGCCCCCATCTTGGTGGGGCCCTTGCCTCGAGCACACGTGCATTCTTTCGCCAAATCCCTCAACTGGCCGTTGCCCTCTCTCCCTCTGCAGCCACACCGTGTGCACACCCAATACGGGTCATAACAGGCCATGGCATGTGAGTGGTGTGCGACGCGCGTGCCAACCGCCACGAGCACACGGGTGGGCTGGGGGAGGGGCGGGCCAGGGCATTGGGAACAACGCCAATTCTGCAAAACTCTGTTACAAGATGCTTTGCTGACACTGCTATGACAATACGCACACAACTAAAACGAGTTTTAGAGTCAACCAATGAGTGGGCGGAGCCTTGCTGGGCGCGTGCAAGGGCGGGTCCTCCTGGCCACCCTTTGCACCTCGTGCACCGTCGGCGGGCGCTCCTCCGTCTCGAAGGCTGTCAGCGTGGCCCGCGCGATGCGGAGCCGCACAAGACATAGGGTGGAGACAGCCCATTTGTAGCAAGAGAGGCGGGGCGCAGGGATGGCATGGGAGGCGGCATCAGTGGCAGCAAGATCGTCGGCCACCTGATTGCCTATACACGCCATCAAGGGAACTCCCTTGGCCATGTATTCCTCTGGAGAGAGGTGACTATTCAGAACATGGACTGTCACTGCGGCCTCACCCCTCACTCTGAATTCACTTCCGAGGGCCTCCCACAAATCTCCGTTCACGCTCCAGCCAGCAGGTCTCCAGTGCCTGTCCCGATTCCAACCTCTGAACAACATATCACTGTCAGTCTAGAACTCAACTTCACCAGAAGCGCACCTGAGGACTGAAATCAAGCTGGGCATCTCTGCTCTGTTATTGGACTGGCGAGGCCCCGCGAGGGGCGAGCAGGCGCCGCCTAGCAGCACGGGGCGCTCAGGCGGGCCCTGCAGCAGGCACCAGCCCCAGCCGCAGCGGCGGTAGCGCGCGTCAGCGGCCTCCTCGCCGCCGCTGCCATCGCCACAGGCGAAATGCCTGTCGCCCGACGGCGCCAGGCGGCCAGCTCCCACAGCGCCGAAGGTCTTCAGCTCCTCGACCGCGTCGCACGGCGGCGGTGCAGTCCACGCCTTCGGCGCGATGCCTCGCAGCCACAGCGCAGGGCTATCGAGGTGGAAGCTCTCAGCCTTCGGGCGCAACCAGTCCGTCCTCTCGAAGGCCTGGTAGTGCGGGCGATCAGGGCAGTCGCCCCAGACGCGGTGGTAGTCATCACCCACGGCACCACAGCTGCATCGTGCAGAACCGCCACGCTCCTCACCAAGAACCTCACACTTGCGGGCCTTTGTCCACGTACTCGCCGTCATCGCTTGCACCAAAGCGTTCGCCATGTCGGGCTTGTTCTTGCGCCACTTCTTGAGGGTGAACTTCGCGCCGCTCAAGTCCACCCCCTGCTCTAGTCCCGCAGCGTTGTGACCACCCGCCGCCTTGGACCAGAGCTGCATCGATATGTCTGAGATCACCGCGTCGATCACGTCTGCTGGATCCTTCTTCTCCGAGCCCGCGGCCATGGTCCACTCCTCGCCCCGCGGGTCAGTCCACGAGGTCGGCGAATGTGGCGACCAGTCCGCGTCCCAGAGCGTGAGCATCACCGAGGCCATCACGCCTCGCTTTCGCCTCCAGCGGTGTTGTGACGGCACCTTGAGCAGCTACTTGAAGATCAGCGGCCACGCCTTCTCCGCCATCTGGGGGATGTTCTCCCGATGTGCGTAGAGGTCGAACCACGCACGCAACTGCATCTTGGGGATCTCCAGTGCTGGGTCTTGCCCCTGCAGGGCTAGGAAGGAAGTCAGGCAGCGCCCAGCCCGCGGCCTCGCCAAACCGGCTGCGTAGCGGCGCCGCACCGCCGCGACTGCCGACGGCGGTTCGCCATGGGCCTTGGCGCCGTAGCCCAGGGAGGGCATCGGTCCCTGGTTGAGCAGCGCCACGCGCTTCTCCCTTCGCAGCTTGCGCAGTTTCTTGCCAATCGCTCTCATTCTGCTGTGTGCCTTTTTGCGCCTGTCCATATGTGTGTGGCACGGCGTCGGGCTCCAGCAGCAGCACGGTCCACTCCCAGGTCTCGGCCCTCCTCCGACGCCTGGAACGTGAGGCCTCGCTTCTGTAGCTTGGCCACCATCCTCCTGGTAATTGCAAGGTCCGAAGAGAAGATGACGCTCTTGCTGGCCAGCTTGAGCCCATTTTTCTCGAGGGAGTCGCCCAAGGCTTTCATCGCCTCGGGAAGATTGCGCTCCACAGCTGTCTTACTGCCGTAGAACGAAGTACTGATATCATCAAACCAAGCTCGGGGTCCGGGGTATTCCACGGAACGACGGTGTGACGATTCCTTCCAAAGTCCGATGCACAACAGCTCGTACCAAGTGGTTGGCATGGCGCGAGCCCGCCAGAAGGGAACGGTCAGCCTGGCACGGATCCCCGTATGCCCCCTCCAGCCTCAGCATCCTGCCGACGGCGTGCAGCTGCAGCTCCAACGCCACGGTGCGGACGGGGAAATCCCGCTCCTCACGGGCCTCGGCGACCGTCGGCAGCGCCAGCGAGTCGTAGAAGCGCTTTATGTCCGCCAATCCAACTCCTGCTGTCATGCTGAGCGCCCAGGCGGCCTCGTCCTGGAGCTCCCTCGCGAACGCCTCGCGGAGGCAGGACGAGCCTTTGAGCGCCGCATCCCAGTGGCGGGCCGACCCAGTAACCCACTCCTCCACCTCAGGGTGTGTGAGGAGCTGCCATGCACGTGCCAGCCAGGACAGCAATGTGATCGCTCTGTCACCTTTCGCCTTCGGCTCCAACATCACAATTGCTTGCAGAATCTGATGAGGCCAAGCGACCTCACGTTCAATCTGGTTCAAGAGGTCGATAAAGCACTGTCTAGCAGCAGGCGGCAATCGCTTGACATCTGAAGCGACTAGTCTGTCGACGCCTCGGCCCTTGTCGGGCTGGAGGTGGAGGTCGTGATCAAACGTATCGAGTGTCCAGCAAGGCCTGGCTGGCGTTTCCAGCGCTCGCCTGCGAACTCGAGCCAAGACGGCTACAGAGTCCTGCTGGGACACCGATGGAGACGACCACATAGTTTTAACATGTTCGTTTTCTGGTCGACCATTTCGACTGGGGAAGACGCTTTATCTCCCTCGAGCACGCTCTCATCTTCAAAACGTGGTTTGGGCTTGGAGATCTCGTGGAGCTTCCCCCGGGGTGGCCTTATGCGGGTCCGCTAACCATTCAACCCACTCCGCCTGCTCTTTACAAACATCGTGGCGGTGGGCCTTCTCAACCTCCTTAGACGCCTGCTGGGCTATGCCGTCAAGGACAGGGAGGGGCACCTTCGAGAGATCGGACAATCTGACCCTCCAAAGCTCACGAAGCTGCACTGCCTGCGGGGACGGGCGGGCCCCCGCACTAGACACACCTTCCAGGACTAGACCCCTTTTTGACGAGAGACTAAGGTGTCATACAGCTTGATTGTGTTAGCGACTCGGCTCCACCACCCAGCTGTGTAGCTGGAACATCGAGGCTTGCGAAGACCTTCTCTGCAACCTCAACCAATCGAAGCTTATAAGTGAATGCCCTACCTTCAAAACGCTCAGCCTCGCGGTCCCCGATTTGGTAGGCCGCGCAGTAGAAACACTCCACGTGCTGGACGAGGCTCGCATACTGGTAACCCAAACGACAGGCAGCCTGGGGGGCGACCAGAAACGCGGGGCAGGTTTTGACATGATCCGCAACCTCTTCGCAACGGGCCGTGGGGCGGCCACCGATCTCCTTCCCTAGCTCGTCGAGAGACTCGGTCGACGGCGCCGACTCTCCCGACTGACCCTGCGAGTTCTGCGGCTTCGGAGCGGGGGGGGGGAAGGGCTGGGGGCCTCACCTGAGCTGGCATCAATCGAGCTCGCACCGAGATCCAGCTCAGGTGGAGGGCCCTCCTCCTCCAGGAAGGCCTCGCCTTCTTCAAAACCCCCTTCCACCTCCAGAACCTGAAAAGGGTCAGCATCAGGGTCATCCAGTCCCGAGGGGGCCGCGGGAAAATGGGTCCAGCCACCTGGCCCCAGGGCCTCCCAACGTCGGTTTAAACCATCCTGCCCTTGCTCAAAGCCTTTTTCTCTTCGGACAGCAGGAAGAGATGGGGGGGGGCACAGCGGCAGCCGGAGGGAGAGCACGCAGCTTTTCCTGGTGTCTGCTCGACGGGTCGGGTGGCTTCTTGGCCCGCCTCGGGTGTGCGCACGGGGCTGGCATGCGCGGGGGTCTAGTCATGGCCGGCACAACTGCTGCTCTGAGCGTCAGGATTTGACCGACGTGAGGCTTCCATGGGACAGGGGTGGTTTCCAGACCTCCAGAGTAAGGAACGGCCCGAGGGCTCAAAAGAGAGAAGTCGATACAAGACGGATTGCTGCCGTCTTTGAAAGCAAGTGTAGCCGTCAACCGAAGCGATTTTGCCACCGAGCTTGGAGGGCCAGCCCGATCTCCAGAAGGCCTCGGGGGAGGCATTGAAGTCTCCCGAGACGATCCAAGGGTTTTTCAAGCTTTTCAAAAACGCGCCAAGTGCGGCGAGCTTACACGCACTATCACCTGTAAACGAGTTGGACCCTTCCAAATAAATGCTTACCAGCGTGATGCTTACTCCTCTGAGATGCCAGGTCACCGGGACCCAGTCGTGAAACGAGAATGACTGAGCTGTTCGATCCCCCGTGACTGTGGTGCTCCATGACGCACAGTCTGACCTAGCGAGCTCCCGAAAGCATGTCAATTGATGTTTGGACCTGTCTGCAACGCACACGCCCCCATGCGAGCCTGTTTTTGAGCGCTCGCTGGGGCGTGCTGCTGAGAACGCCGCCTTCAGGCCCAGCCCTTCAGCAGGCGCTCGTGCTCCATGAGCTCCTCCTCCGCACGGAGGTGCGTCTCCTGCAGCATGAACCCGTCCAGCGAGTGGAGCTTGGCAGACTCTTGGACGAACTTGCTAGCAGTCTTCCCCCACGTGGTGATGTTGGCGACAAACACTTGCCTGGTCGCGCGCTCGGCAGCCACGCGTCCCCGACCAGGCCACTGACGCCGTCAGGCCTCCGTGGTACCCTTGCCGATGCCTTTCGCGCGGAGGTCCGCGAGCATCCTGTCCTTGGCCTCCTGCGCCTGCTTTGCCTGCTCAGCCTTCGCAGCGGCCGCCGCCGCCGGGTCCCCGCTGGCCGCTGCGCTGGCCTGGCTGGCGGCCTGGGCCGCCCCCGTGGCAGGCGGCGCCACCGTTGCGCCGTCGGCGGCTCCCGCGGTCGGCGCTGCGGTGGCTGCGGCAACGCCGCCTGGGGTTGCCCCCGCCGTGTCCGCCTTGCGCTTCTTCGCCGCCTGGACCAGCGCAGTTCGCTCCTGTGCTGCCTTCTCCTTCGCCGCGTCGTAGTGTGTCTTGAGCTGGCTCAGGAACTGGCTGGTCTTCTCCTGGAACTCCGGCACCATCTGCTGCTTCGCCCTCCGCGCCTGTTCCAGCGCCTCTGGGTCGACCTCGTCTGGGCTGGCCTCGAAGGCGGTGCCAAAGTCCTTCAGCGACTCGGCGCAGAGGGACTCGGGCTTGGCGGTCATAATGTCGTAGAGGAGCGACTTGTGCTGCTGGCCCTCGGCATTGATGGACTCCACCAGCGCCTCGGCCTCCACGACCTTCTGCGCGCGCTCCAGCACGTCGGCCTCGGCCTTCTCGAGCTTGAGCCGCGCAGTCTCCTTGAAGTCGAACGAACGATCATAGGCCTTGTTGGCCTCCTCCAGGGCGCGCGCTGCCTCCAGGCGCGCGGCCTTGGTCTTGGGCGGCGAACCCTTGGACTCTGCTGCCTTGGAGATCTCGCCCAAGGCCCCAGTCAGCTGTTGCACCATCTCAGGCTTCACGGCTCACGTCGACAACTGGCTCGACACCTGTGACAGCGCCTGCACCAGTGAGTTGGCCTCTGCTGGCTTGGGCGGTGGCTTGTCTCCCCTGCAGGGAAGCATCGTACTGCAACTGCAGCTGTAGTCGCAGGCCTTGAGCTGAGAGTTCCACTTCCAACCTCCACAACGTTTGCAGGTCGTGTAGCTGTACTTGTCAGCCTTGCTGTAGCCTCCCATGTCAGGGACTGAGCTGCCGTGATGGCCCTGCAGGCGCCGACGTGCAATTTCCAGCTTCAGCAGCCTGCGAGCCTCGAACCTGCGCCTCCTCAGGCGTCTGTGCCAGGCAGGCGAGCGCGACCGCGCTCTGCACGGACTCGCTCGAGCGCCCCGTCGGGGCTGGGGGCTCCGATCGCCCGCGGGCCGCGCGCGCGGGGCCTCGCCACGAAGCCACTTAGGTGGAGGAAGAGGTGGCTGAGGAGAAGGAGGAGGATGAGGCTTATGATGATGATGATGATGATGATGATGATGATGATGATGATGATGATGATGATGATGATGATGATGATGATGATGATGATGATGATGATGATGATGATGATGATGATGATGATGATGATGCTGACTGATGACTGATGATGATGATGATGATGATGATGATGATGATGATGATGATGATGATGATGATGATGGTCATGGTGATGATGATGATGATGATGATGATGCTGATGCTGATGCTGACTGATGACTGATGATGATGATGATGATGATGATGATGATGATGATGATGATGATGATGATGAGGAGGAGGAGGAGGAGGAGGAGGAGGAGGAGGAGGAGGAGGAGGAGGAGG